AGTTGTCATGTGACTACTGACATGGCTGTGTTGAGTTGTCATATGACTACTGCCATGACTGTATCATGTTTACATAAGACTACACACATGAATGTTTTGAGTTTTCATGTGAATACTGACATGACTGTGTTGAGTTGTTATGTGACTACTGACATGACTGTGTTGAGTTGTCATGTGACTACTGACATGACTGTGTTGAGTTGTCATGTGACTACTGACATGACTGTATCGTGTTGTCATAAGACTACTGACATGAATGTGTTGAGTTGTCATGTGACTACTGACATGACTGTATCGTGTTGTCATGTGACTACTGACATGACTGTGTTGAGTTGTTATGTGACTACTGACATGACTGTGTTGAGTTGTCATGTGACTACTGACATGACTGTATCATGTTGTCATATGACTACTGACATGAATGTTTTGAGTTGTCATGTGACTACTGACATGACTGTGTTGAGTTGTCATGTGACTACTGACATGACTGTGTTGAGTTGTCATGTGACTACTGACATGACTGTATCGTGTTGTCATAAGACTACTGACATGAATGTGTTGAGTTGTCATGTGACTACTGACATGACTGTATCGTGTTGTCATGTGACTACTGACATGACTGTGTTGAGTTGTCATGTGACTACTGACATGACTGTGTTGAGTTGTCATGTGACTACTGACATGACTGTATCATGTTGTCATAAGACTACTGACATGAATGTGTTGAGTTGTCATGTGACTACTGACATGACTGTATCGTGTTGTCATGTGACTACTGACATGACTGTGTTGAGTTGTTATGTGACTACTGACATGACTGTGTTGAGTTGTCATGTGACTACTGACATGACTGTATCGTGTTGTCATGTGACTACTGACATGACTGTGTTGAGTTGTCATGTGACTACTGCCATGACTGTATCATGTTGTCATAAGACTACTGACATGAATGTGTTGAGTTGTCATGTGACTACTGACATGACTGCATCATGTTGTCATATGACTACTGTCATGAATGTTTTGTCATATGACTACTGACATGACTGTATAATGTTGTTATATGACTACTGACGTGAACGTGTTGAGTTGTCATGTGACTACTGACATGACTATCATGTGGCCATGACTACTGACATGACTGTGCTGAGTTGTCATGTGACTACTGACATGACTGTATCATGTTGTCATATGACTACTGACATGACTGTGTTGAGTTGTCATGTGACTAATGACATGACTGTATCATGTTGTCATATGACTACCGACATGACTGTGTTCAGCTTTTATGTGACTACTGACATGACTGTATCATGTTGTCATATGACTACTGATATTAATGTGTTGAGTTGTCATGTGACCACTGACATGACTGTGCTGAGTTGTCATGTGACTACTGACATGACTGTATCATGTGGCCATGACTACTGACATGAATGTGCTGAGTTATGTGACTACTGACATGACTGTATCGTGTTGTCATGTGACTACTGACATGAATGTGTTGAGTTGTCATGTGACTACTGACATGACTGTATCATGTGGCCATGACTACTGACATGACTGTGCTGAGTTGTCATGTGACTACTGACATGACTGTATCATGTTGTCATATGACTACTGGCATGAATGTGTTGAGTACGACCCCTCCCTAAAATGTCTAAGGATCATCTTGAGTATTCCTGGATTCGCCTATGCATTCAAACATGAAGTGAATTTCGTTTTTATTTGAGCCGAAGTCACACATTTTACATATCTTACTACAGTTAATATCTAAATGTTACATCTCAATGGAAGTGCATGCAAGTAAACATAGATGTTTTTTAATTGCTATGTGAGTAATGGAAGTAACATAATATTCAACATTTATCATGTTTTGACTTCTTTGATATATCTTAGATAGAGATTTACTTAGTTTACCAGGAATACGCTGTTTATCACAATTAAGAAGTGAATTCTTGAAAACGGAAATGAAATGGAAAATATCGCCAACATCCTGACTGTATTATACAAATCCGAAACCATAGCAACTTAAAAGTTATCTAACTGATGCTCAAGTTTCTGTGCCAGCTCAATCTAATCTCCATAAGTAAATAACTCTGTTTTGGATAACGATCACTGGACGCCTTTAAAATAGCTACTAATAGCTAATGCCCACTTCGCAACAATCCGGGTTGGTTGGGTAGCCTAGTGGTTAAGGCGTGCCCTTGTCACGCCGAAGATCCAGGTTCGATTCCCCACATGGACACAAAGTGTGAAGCCCATTTGAAGCCTTGATTTTTGCTGGAATATTGCTAAAGGCAGCGTAAAACTAACTAACTTACTCACTCACTCACTCACTCACTCACTACGTAGGAAACCACATAAACATGTGATCTACCACAATCTGCCCAAACACCATTACTAACACCAAAAACAATATTTACAATTAGTCTGAAATATTTCAAGCTTTTTCCGGTCGATGTGACCGATGACCGGTGACTAGTGACTAGTGACCAGTGATAACGACTGGTAACCGTTGACCGGCGAATAGTGACCAATGACTGGTGACTATTCCCAGCAACAGTCCAAGTGACATTCCAAGCGACAGTCCAAGCAACAGTCCCAGCAAACATTCTCAGCAACAGTCCCAGTGCCAGTCCCAGCGACAGTCCCAGTGCCAGTCCCAGCGACAGTCCAAGCAGCAAACTCACCCAGCCCCAGACAAGGCGACAGTCCCAGCAACAGTCGTGCGACGCTAGTGTATCCGAGTGTGATTATACTCGCAAGTGTAGTAATGCTTGTATAAATGTACGCTAGTGTATTAATACTTGTGCGATTCTACGCTGGTGTATTAATGCATGTGTTAGTCTACGCTAGTTTATTAATACTTGTGTAAGTCTACGCTAGTGTATTAATACATGTGTTAGTCAACGCTAGTGTATGAATACATGTGTAAGTCTACGTTAGTGTATTAATACATGTGTTAGTCTACGATTGTGTATTAATACTTGTGCTAGTCCACGCTATTTGATTAATACTTGTGTTAGTCTACACTAGTGTATAAATACTTGTGTTACTCTACACTAGTGTATAAATACTTGTGTAAGTCTACGCTATTGTATTAATACATGTGTATATCTACGCTAGTGTATTAATATATGTGTATGTCTACGCTACTGGATTAATGCATGTGTTAATCTACGCTAGTGTATTAATGCATGTGTTAGTCTACGTTAGTGTATTAATACTTGTGTAAGTGTACGCTAGTGTGTTAATACATGTTTTAGTCTACGCTTTTGTATTAAAACATGTGTTAGTCTACACTTGTGTATTAATACTTGTGTAAGTCTACGCTAGTGTATTAATACTTATGTAAGTCTACGTTGGTGAATTAAAACTTGTGTAAGTCTACGCTATTGTATCAATACTTGTGTGAGTCTACGCCATTGTATTAAAACTTGTGTAAGTCTACGCTAGAGTATTAATACTTGTGTGTCTATGCTAGTGTAACATATTTACATATCCAAACTGCCAACATTATTTAATATTAATAGACGTTTTTAGTCTAGAACTTTATTTTATATGCATGAGTGAGATATTATACCCTAAAACTTTAGAAACCATTCTACAACCAAATATAACTAACCTGGTGACTCCTGACTCTACCTCACATTCTCAGCTCTCAGAATGCAATGAAACTCACAAGACACCACGAGGTATAATCATGTTGAAGCAGACGATCCAATCAACCAATCAAAATCATCCATGTTATAACAAAGATTCCCATAAACATGAAATGCACGTGCAATACATATTCATTAACCTGGCCTACGCAGGACAAGCACAAATAATACTGTTGGCCACAAAACTGTATAAAACCAACAAGAAATGTTTTTATATGATTTTTTTTATTGACGTTTTAAATAAAACAAAATATATGATACAAAGTGAAATGTCACTGCTACACACTCCCCACTGTTCAAAATGACGTCCTCGTCATGTACGGTATCAGCATAAAAGAGGAGCAACAACCTGTACTTATGACCTAGTTATGACTGTAAGAAGAGCATCCGAAAGCTTATCTGGAAGATTCGTGAATACACCCCTTGAAGCCAATGATTCTAGAAACTGAGCTTTTTTTAGGGTTGAGCCATTCAAACGCCATCCTTTCAGACTTCCACCCTTCTATACACCACACCATACAGCGTAACAACTGCCAGACTTACATGTGTGTACACAAAAAACCCTCAACGCCACAGTCACAAGAAAATATGGAAAACTCAAATGCAAATTACATTTCTCCCTTTTCTCAATGAAACCAATATCAATTTAAAATTGTGAATCAACTATTTGAATCACACGATTCAATCAAGTGATTCAATCTAAATCAAGATGTGATCGTTTACATGTGACATCATCATCTTTACTAAGGGCAATCACAAAAGTCAGTGATATAGACGCACGAAGTGAACGTGAAAAGAACACCCCCTATATCTCAAGTAGACATTCAAGTGTCAACAAATCACAATAGTGGAAATGCACAAGTCGACAAAGTCAAATGCCGACAATGTAGGATAAATCAAAATCAACTCCACAAACCAAGGAGTGTCCCATCACGATGCATTACTGCTGTATAAACAGTGGAGATAAAAGTCTATTTTGCCGATGATCAGTGTAAAGTCACATGTAAATATTAAAATTAAAGCGTTCTGAGGCTGAGGTCCATGAATAGCGCATTTGTAGATCATAATATATAATGATAACGCATAATGTGGTCATGGAATGTATGTAGGCAGAGCTAAGTCACAGTGCATAACACAATGTCAATGAGGGATACGACCTTGACCCGATGATGTCCGGTGTCCCACGTCTGTTCTTCGATGCACGAACACTGTACGATGAGAAACACCTCTTCCGTTCCTAACGCTGAGACCCGTGTGGGTCCCACGTTGATCTATGAATTCCTCACTGGGGGCTCCATTTGTAACAGCTGTAACGCCGAGAAACAACGACTTGCTGTAGGGTGTGAATCTGTTTATTCCTTACATCACAGGAAGAGGTAGAAGAAGAATACCCTGTAAACATTTCATTTATATATATTAATATCACAATGGTTTGGGGGTTTTTTATCACAAGGGCATTAGCACAGATTCATTTGTACCAATTGATTAAGAAAAGGGAGACAACTGAAGCACATATAAATCACATTGAACGAAATAAATACATTGGTAACAAATATTTTTCCTTTTCAGTTAGTTCACAAATATGACCATACCGAGTGTAAAATAAGAACGTATGCATATTGGTTACATTTTCCAGAGGAAAATGAAATAGTTACATGTTTACCTTATATTCAAAATTTGCTCACCCGTCTATAAGACGAAGCTACTCCTAGACATCTATCTGCTCGATGCGTGACATGTGCCTAGATGCTAATACAATAAAGTGAAAACAAAGATAATATGAATCACTATGCACCCATCACTAGCACACAGAAGTGTACATCATATTCTCAACAGCCACCACCACAGCGCGCACAGACCATTCGCACGACACCCATACAAGAAACACAATGTGAAAATATGTATAATAGCAATCCAATTGAGGCATTAAAAACTTTACAGCCTATCACGAATTAGCGTAACATATTTACATATCCAAACTGCCAACATTATTTAATATTAATAGACGTTTTTAGTCTAGAACTTTATTTTATATGCATTAGTGAGATATTATACCCTAAAACTTTAGAAACCATTCTACAACCAAATATAACTAACCTGGTGACTCCTGACTCTACCTCACATTCTCAGCTCTCAGAATGCAATGAAACTCACAAGACACCACGAGGTATAATCATGTTGAAGTTGAATACTTGTGTAAGTCTACGCTTTTGTACTAATACATGTGTATGTCTACGCTAGGATATTAATGCATGTGTTAGTGTACGCTAGTGTATTAATGCATGTGTTAGTCTACGCTAGTGTATTAATACTTGTGTAAGTGTACGCTAGTGTATGAATGCATGTGTTAATCTACACTATTGTATTAATACATGTGTATATCTACGTTAGTGTATTAATACATGTGTATGTCTACGCTACTGGATTAATGCAAGTGTTAGTCTACGCTAGTGTATTAATACTTGTGTAAGTCTACGCTAGTGTATTAATGCATGTGTTAGTCTACGCTAGTGTATTAATACATGTGTATGTCTATGCTAGTCTATTCACACTTGTGTAAGTCTACGCTAGTGTATTAATAGATGTGTTAGTCTACGCTAGTGTATTAATACATGTGTATGTCGACGCTATTGTATAAACACTTGTGTTAGTCTACGATTGTGTATTAATACTTGTGTTAGTCTACACTAGTGTATAAATACTTGTGTTAGTCTACACTAGTGTATAAATACTTGTGTAAGTCTACGTTTGTGTATTAATACTTGTGTAAGTCTACGCTAGTGTATTAATGCTTGTGTAAGTCTACGCTAGTGTATTAAAACTTGTGTAAGTCTAGGCTACAGTATTAATACTTGTGTTAGTCTTCGCCAGTGTATTAATACTTGTGTTAGTCTACGCTTTTGTATTAATACATGTGTATGTCTACGCTAGTGTATTTATGCATGTGTTAGTCTACGCTAGTGTATTAATACTTATGTATGTCTACGCTCGTGTATTAATACATGTGTAAATCTACTCTAGTGCATTATTACTTGTGTAAGTGTACGCTAGTGTATTTATACCTGTGTAAGTCTACGCAGTGTATTAATACCTGCGTAAATCTGCTCTGGTGTATTAATTCCTGTGTAAATCTACGCTAGTGTTTTATTACTTGTGTAAGTGTACGCTAGTGTATTAATACCTGTATAAGTCTACGCTAGTGTATTAATACTTGCATAAGTTTATACTGGTATATTAATACATGTGTAAGTCTACGGTAGTGTGTTAATACATGAGTACCTCTACGCTAGTGTATTAATACTTGTGTTAGTCTACGCTAGTGTATTAATACTTTTGTAAGTCTACGCTAGTGTATTAATACTTTTGTAAGTCTACGCTGGTGTATCAATACTTATGTAAGTATACGCTAGTGTATTAATGCTTCTGCAAGTTATTGTGTTAAGTGCTTGTTTAGGGCAAAAACGGTGCGTTGTTAATCTTGAGGGATTGATTTAGATCTACATGGGATTGCTTGAGTCTTGAGTGATTGTAATCAGTGCTTGTTTAGGGCGAGCGTTGTTTGCCTTGAGTGATTGGTTTAGATCTACATGGGATTGTTTGAGTCTTGAGTGATTGTATGCATGTGTGTATGCATGTGTATGTGCGCTGGTGTTTGTGTTCCAAGGGGATTGACCTCAGGTCTCGACATCTTAGACGATCCCGCTCCAGCCCAACAAACTTTAATTCCATGAACCATCCTTCCTTAGGGGTCACGTGAGAGAGATGCGCATGCGCACTAGTCAGTAGCGAATGTGTTCCTAGTTGTCTTGACAAGTTTTTATTCGTTGGTTTCACATTAATTTTAGACTCGTTGTGCGCATGCGCAGAGCGTGTAAAAATATCCTGAGGCCATATCCGGTTTGGTCGTAAGCTTTACCGATAGTGTAAACGCACTCTAAAGGAAGCGAAAATCAAAACAAATATATGGTTTTATGTCGAATTTAACTAATCTCAATTCATTTATGAATGGAAGGGACCGGAATCAGTTTAATAAATAGCTAAACGTTTGTTAACAAGCTCTTGTATAAACACATCTCACCACCACCCGTCCACCGTCCTTCCTGCACATCCCCTTCTCACAAGTAAAAAAACACATCTCTGATGCAATGCCACCAAAATAGGACATCAAACATTGAAAAGCATAGGCAAATTGATGTATGTACTCAACTATGAACAGTTGTCACGCGTAAATAATTTTGATACAGCATTTATTTAGAGCGTGTTTACAATATCGCTAATACGACCAAACCGGATATGACCGGAGGATATTTTTACACGCTCTACGCATGCGCACAGCGAGTCGAAAATTAATGTGAAACCAACGAATAGAAGATTCTTTCAACATCGGATTATTTTCACAAACGGATATTTATAGTGTGTTTGAAGTCGTCTCTACATTGTTCACGGATTTCGGATGTGTATCCCAGCGTCACGGATATAGCGGTGCTGGAACTTTCCCGTACGAAGGACAAAAATCCTAGTGGTACTGACAATACTTGGAGCTGACCAAGAGGGAACAAGTCGGGAGAGAGAGAGCAGCAGCACCTCCTAGTGGTACTGACAATACTTGGAGCTGACCAAGAGGGAACAAGTCGGGGAGAGAGCAGCAGCACCTCCTAGTGGTACTGACAATACTTGGAGCTGACCAAGAGGGAACAAGTCGGGGGAGAGAGAGCAGCAGCACCTCCTAGTGGTACTGACAATACTTGGAGCTGACCAAGAGGGAACAAGTCGGGGGAGAGAGAGCAGCAGCACCTCCTAGTGGTACTGACAATACTTGGAACTGACCAAGACGGAACAAGTCGGGAGAGAGAGAGCAGCAGCACCTCCTAGTGGTACTGACAATACTTGGAACTGACCAAGACGGAACAAGTCGGGAGAGAGAGAGCAGCAGCACCTCTCCCAATGACGATGCTCTAGCAAAAGTCCTTGCTGCGCAGCAGCAACAGGCAGAGTCCATAAAGTTTCTGACGGAAACAATCATTCAAATTGGGGCGAAAAGAAACAGGTTTCTTCCATTGTCATAGAGGTCAGTGATAAACAAGCTGGGCCGAGTGGTCTTGGAAAGGGCGGGTCATTGAAGCGTAAAGCCAGTGGCGAGTGCGACTCGCAGAAGCGATGCCGACTTACTGCTGATAGTGATATGTCAGACGCAGAGGACAATGATCCCTTTGATGACATAGTTGACACTTTACAAAGTGATCATGAAGCAGAAAGTGAGAATGAAGTTGACGCAGTCATCTTCGAATTAAATGCTTATTTCAACAATGATGACAAATTTGGTCCTAAAGTGAACGAGGTTCTGGGAAGGACTATAAATGAAGGGCTGAGATCGCAGCTGAATGTCGAAGCTCTTAATCAGACGAAGGATAAGTATCAGAAGCCAGAAAACTGCCCTAATCTGACTGTTCCGAGAGGGAACAATGAAGTGTGGAATCAGGTCAAACCACAAACCAGGTCCATAGATTCCAAGCTACAAAATGTTCAAAGCCTCTCGGCTAAGGCTTTTTGTCCTATTCCGGAGCTGACTGATGATGTTATGAATGCTTCTAGAGATAAGAAGCAACAGATCAATTTAAAAACGTTGGCGAAGAAGTCTTGCGATTCTCTACGCCTTTTATCAGCTGTGTTCGTAGAACTCACAAATCACAGGAAGGACACATTCAAGACGGAGCTCAAAGGAGCTTACAAACAGCTGTGTGCACATACCAATCCTGTCACTGACCAGCTTTTCGGCGATGATCTTGCTAAACAGATAAAGGACATTTCTGAAGCTCCAACTCTCTCTGCCAAATTAAGCAGTGGCGGAGACAGGCCAGGTCAGTTACCATGGAAACAAACCCGAGGTGGAAAGCCCGGTTACGTAAGACGTGACACTCACCAGCATCAGGGCCGGAACGACCGAGATCGGCGTTTTTTTAGGTCAGAACCGCCGGAACAACTTCAAAGGGAGAAGCGGTGACCAACAACAGAAAAAGCAGTAGAGTACACTCTATCTGCCCCAACTAAAGAGGTGAGAGATCTCTGCCCCAACTAAAGAGGTGAGAGATCTCTGTAACACCTTAACGCATACACCGGATAATTTTAAAGCTGGTAATACAGCTTCCTGTTGTTACCAGTGGAAAAAACTAACGTCTGATACATTTGTTTGGATACTGACAGTGATGGTTATATAATTGAATTTGACCAGCTACCTTCACAAGATCAAACCCCAAGGCCGATTCAATTTAGTGAAAATGAACTCGTGGCTATTACCCAACAGGTTGTCAATATGACCATGACAGGTGTGAGTGAACATGCAGAACCGTGTGCAGGTCAATTTATCTCAAACATTTTCAGCAGAGATAAAAAGGATGGAGGTATCCGTATTATTCTGGACCTAACAGTGCTAAATAAGAAAGGGGACAAAGTGAAATTTAAACCGTATGTAGATCAATTTATCTCAAACATTTTCAGCAGAGATAAAAAGGATGGAAGTATCCGTATTATTCTGGACCTAACAGTGCTAAATAAGAAAGTGGACAAAGTGAAATTTGAAATGGACACAATAAAAACAGCCATAAATTTAATTAAGCCAGATTGTTTCTTCGGTAGCGTGGATCTAAAAGACGCATATTACACGATCCCAGTGCCCAAAGATTACAGGAAATTCATGAGGTTTTATTGGGACGGGCAGCTTTTTCAATTTACATGCTTGGCTAATGGGTTAACCTCTGCCCCAAGAATATTTACCAAAGTGTTGAAAGTTCCGTTCGGAGAATTGCACAAACAAGGCCACACGATATCAGGATATATTGATGATAGTATTCTTTGTGTCAAGCAAATATCACAGCTCCAATTCAGCTTTTTGACTACCTTGGTTTTACTATACATCCTCGCAAGTCAAGCCTTGTTCCAACGCAGGTTATAACGTACCTCGGATATGTTCTGAATTCTCGAGATATGACAGTTAGTTTGACTGAGGAAAAAACGGGGAAAATAAAAAAATGCTGTGTGGAATTGACTAAAAAGAACACTGTCCCTATTAGAGAACTGGCCTCCTTGATTGGTAAATTCGTTGCCTCAGAACCAGGTATGAAGTTCGCTGTGCTGCATTATAAACGGTTGGAGATAGAAAAGAACACGTTATTGTCGGT